AGTCTGACTCTCGCTTGACAACAGTCCAGGGGTGTTCCCTCGGCAGAGCCCAGGGAGGGTCGGCGTCCGTCACCCAGGGCGTCAGCAGAGCTCAGCCCCTGCAGTAGGGCCACGTCCTGCTCCTCGCCGCTGTGGGCTGAAGCCCTCCTTGGCTTCTGGAAGCCTCCGGGCCGGCCACTCAGGCCCCTTCCTCTTCCAAGCCAGCAGCTCCCTTCCCATCTCAGGCCTTCACACGTCCCCTGCTGCTTCCAAGGGCTGTGCGATCAGGGGGTCCCCTGAAGATCCAGGGTAGCCCGTGTCCACGTTCCTGCGCTCACCCACCTGCAGAGGCCGGCTCGGGCCCCTGCTGGCCAGGCCTCCTCCTAGCTGGGGGAGCAGAGCCAGTGTCCACGTTCCTGCGCTCACCCACCTGCAGAGGCCAGCTCGGGCCCTGGCGGCTAGGCCCCTTCCCAGCTGGGGGAGCAGAGCCCGTGCCCACGTGGTTCTGCAGAGTTGTGCCTGTCGCCGCCCTGACGGTCAGACGGTGCCCAGCCCGGCTTCCCCAGTGGCCGCTTGTTCACAGCTAACGATTTGTCTCTGAGGTTCTGTTTTGCAATTCTTGCATTACTAGTAGGTTGAACATTTCCCCGGTTCCCACATTCACTATTTAGGGTAACTTTGAAGACAAGATGATTTTTTTCCCTCTTCTTTTTGGCCGTACCACGTGTCTTGTGGGCTCTTAGTTCCTGACCAGGGACTGAACCTGGGGCCCCAGCAGGGAAAGCATGAGTCCTCACCACTGGACCGCCTGGGCCTTCCTGAGAGCATGGTGATGGTCATCACGACTCAGCAAGCCCATCTCCTCATTTTATCTGCGTCTTCCCCAGTGCTGCGTGCGCTTGGCTTCTGAGTTTCAGTTTCAGCGGTGGAGGGGAGTGAGCCAGCACCCCCAGCCCAAAGGGGAGACACCCGCGGGCCTGGGGCCACTGGCCGACTGAGGGGCTGGGGAGGGGGCACAGAGCGGCAGCTGGTCCGAGCTCTTCCCTCTGGGGGCCCCCCAGCTCCCTAAGCGCCCGCACCTTACCTTGCAGGTGGCCTGCTACAGCTGCAGATCCGGGCAGTGGTCCTCCGTCTGCCCGCTCCCGGCCGGGCACGGGGAGCCAGGCATCGCTGTGCTGGACAACAGGATCTACGTGCTGGGCGGCCGCTCACACAACCAAGGCAGCCGCACGGGCTACGTGCACATCTACGACGCGGGAAAGGACAGCTGGGAGGAGGGGCCGCAGCTGGACAACTCCATCTCGGGCCTGGCCGCCTGCGTGCTCACCCTGCCGCGGTCCCTGCTGCTCGAGCCACCCCGGGGGACCCCTGACCGCAGCCAGGCCGACCCGGACTTTGCCTCCGAGGTGATGAGTGTGTCTGACTGGGAGGAGTTCGACAACTCCAGCGAGGACTAGGGTCCTGGGGGTGGGGGGCAGGAGACCCCGGTGTGCCCCACCCCACCCACCAGCAGGCAGGCAAGTGTTTTGGGGGCTTGCAGACCTGTGGCAGCAACCCTTTGGGAAGGGCTTGGTCCCCTGAGGGTCCCCAGGCCCTCCTCGGCAGGCATGGCCAGGAACTGGTGCACCACCTGCCATCCTGGTCCCCGTTGGGCTGAGAGGGCGCCTCCTCCCAGGGGACCTGGGGACGGGGGCCCCCTTGCGGGGGCCAGGGCACACCCCCCTCCTGTGGGCAGGAACGGTGCAGGCTGGGCCCATCGCCAGTCAGGGGCCTGAGGCCGGTTGTGATAACAGGCTCTTGCAGCTCGGCCTTCCCGCCCCGTGTTGTTGGTAAATGAAATAAAGCCCCTTCCACGAGGCGCGTTGCTCTCCTTTGGCCTGGGCCTCGCTTTAGCGCTCAGCTCCGGGGGCGTGGCTTCCGGGTGGATCCCACCCCCGGCTGGTTGGTGTCACCAGGAGACCTGTCCCTGTCTGCTGACCCTGGCTGGAGCGTCTCTCCCGCTGAGGACCTCTCCTGTGAACCAAGGTTCCGGTGGCCGTCTTAGCGCTAAGGAAAGCCCAGCACTTGGGGAGGGAGGGCGGTAGAGCCTCGGGGGGCGCCTGTCTCCTGCATCTGAGTGTGTCGTGCGGAGGGGCCTCTGTGTTTCCTGCAGGTAAGCCTCAAGGACCCTCCTGAGTGGGTGGGACCTGCAGGCGAGGGTTCCAACGCCATTTTCCGCACCGCCCAGCCTCCGCCAGGACACCGTCCGCTCCTCCAGGGTCCTCTTACCCACCCCTTCAGACCCCCACTGCTCTGGGTCTTTGTCTCTGTCCCTGCGCCTTGCCCAGGGCCCACGTACCGGCGCTGTCATGGAGGACAGCGGCAGAGGGGTGGTGTGCCCTCCTTGGGTGGAGGGCATGGGGGGTGCAGAGAGTTGGCCACTCTGAACTTCTTTGGGGGTGCCCTAAGGACAGGTGTGAGCATGAGGCAGTTGCTGTGTGTGACTGCTGTCTCAGGGCCCAGGTACCCTTGAGGAAACAGGCCCGGCTCCCTCACCCCACATGACATCACGTGCTTAACACTTAAGGCAGCGAGCCCGGCGCTGACCCTGGTGGTCCCTTCCCATGGGACAAGACAGCCACTCCTCCAGGGTCACCCTCCGACTCCCAAGGGTGAAGTGCGGGACTGTGAGCTTGGAGTGGGGACCCCGTTTCTGTCTCTGCCACCACCCTGCAGGCCAGGGTCGCAGTCTCAGCAGATCTCGGAGGTTCCCACAAAGGAGAAGGGCTGAGACGTCCGCCCTGCCCGAGTGTCCGGGCTGGCGCAGCTGTCTCCCCAGCCAGGCACCAAGGCCTGGCTTTGCGAGAGGCCTCTGATCCACAGGGGACGGAGGGGGGGTCTGTGAGGCTCCCAGGGCGTGGGGTGGGGTATACATGAGCCCCAAAAGGGTTTCTACGACCCAGGCCACAGCCTGGCCCTGCTGCGGGCCAGTGCAGTGTTGGCCCACGGCCAGCAGCTTGCTCCCTCCTCCCTCAGCCCAGGCAGCCCGCTTGCCAGCTTGGCAGGCTCTCTGGCCTGCACTCGAGCCTTCATGCCACCCTCTCCCTTCAAAGTCGGCCTCCTCCGGGAGCTGCCCCTGCCAGGCCCAGGCTCCGGGCCTCCACCATCGGCCTATGTGCTGGTCAGTCCTATGGGCATGCCCTTGTTCTGGTATTCACCTGCCAGAGGGCAGGCAGACGGACAGTCCCCCACTCCGCCTGTACCCAGGCTCCCGACGGCCTGGGTAGGGGCCGGGAAACTTGCCATCAGGCGCAAGGCGGGCCTGAGACAAGGCTGGGGATGGTCCTGTCCTGCGGGCAGCAGACACAGGTGGTACACGGCTGGGGCGGGTGGAGTGTTGGGGCATTCAGACAGACCTGGGGTGCCCGTCAGAGCTGTAGCCCAAAGGAGCTCTGGGGCTGGAGGGGGTGGGGAGGTGATGGACTCTGAGGTTCCCATCCATGAACCCAGTCCAGCTGGGCGACACCTCTAAAGCCAGGAGCAGGGTGGACAGAGCGGCCGCACGGACGTCTGCTGGCCGCCCTAAGGGGGCCCGTGGGAGGGGCGTGGGCTGCAGGGCTGCCCGGAAGTGGTTGGCCTGTTGACTTGCCCCAGAGAAGTGTTTGCGTTTGTGGCCACATGAATGTGACTTCCCCGCCACCCTGCCCGCGGCCACCCCCATCCTGCACCAGCGGGGCTGATGGAGGGGGCCCCAAACCCCCGGGGCTCCCGCCCACCCCGCCTGCCACCAGCGTGGCGATGCCCACAGCCTCGGGCCTGTCGGGGCTTTTGACCAGGCCCCTTCCTGCCTGATGGGGCCCCACATGACTGAGGCAGGAGCCCTCCTCAGGGAGCCCGCACACAGCCCGCCCCCGACCCTGGCCCTGCCTCCAGCTCTGAGGTCCCCAGAAGCCCAGCTCTGCTGGGAGCTGGTCATCCCCCTGCCATCCCCTCCCCAAGCCTGCCTGCCCTCCCCGCTCTTTGGGCCTGGAACAGGGTCTGACCTCTCTGCTCCCCTCTTCCTCCAGGTCCCCAGGTCCTGCGCAGCCCCTTTCTCTGTGGTCTCTGGTGTGCTCTGTCCTCACCCCACTGCTCTGGATTTAGGAGCCTTGGGCCTCCAGGCCTGGCTCCACCTGGAGGATTTTTTCCTCGGGGACCAAAATCCCTGAGAATTTCCTTGGGGATTCTCTCAAGCAGAATCCCCCTCTCCCAGGCCCCTAGCGCTCCTTCTCCCCTTGACAAGGGCTTGCTGGCCGGGGCTCCGTCCCTGGCCGGCCCCACCGCCACCCGCGCAGCCTCTGCCACCTGCCTTTACCTCTAGGATCTCTTGGAGCCGGTGCCGGGCCGGTGCTACTGCAGGCAGCGCTCCCGTCTGTCCCTACGGGGCCCCCTTCGCCCAGACCTCTGGTCCAGACCCAGCCTACCCAAGGCCTCAAGCGTGGGGAGCCGCCGTCGCCTCAGGCTTTGACTGCGCCCGGCTCGGAAGACGCTGACCGCACCGCCGGGCGCGGGAGGGCGTCGCCGCGGGAGCAGAGGCCGGCTTGAGGCCTTGACCTGAGGCTCCGAGGCACCGCTGGCCAGGGGGCTTTGGTGGGCCGCGCCTGGCGCCCACCCGCCTCCCGCCGCCCCGGGGCCTGGCCTCGTCGGGGGCGCGCAGGGCCCGCTTCTCCGGTGGGTGTCTGGGGAGGGAGGGAAAACGCAGCGGCCGGTGATTCCTCTGGCGGGCCCCTTACAAGTTTGCCCCAAGTTTGCGCGCGGCCGCCTGGGGGCGGGGGCCGTACGGAGGGGCGGTGGCGCGGCCGGAGGGTGGGGTCTGGCGCGCGGGGCGGGCGCTGCCGCCTGGCCGGCCGCGGCTGGCCCGGGATCAGGGAGCCGATGTGGAATTTCCTGCCCGGCCCGGCGCCCCTCCTGCCGCCCCCCGCCCGGCCGTGCACTCCGCTTCCGGCCGCTCTCGCAGCGGCCGCACCCGCGCCCGCGCCCGCCCCGCGCCTGCCCCGCGGCGCATGGAGGGCGCAGGGCCCCGGGGGGCCGGGCCGGTGCGGCGCCGGGGAGCCGGGGGGCCGTCGCTGCTGCTGCTGCTGCTCTGGCTGCTGCCCGGCCCCGCGGCGCCCCAGGAGCTGAGCCCGCGCGGCCGCAACGTGTGCCGCGCACCCGGGTAGGAGCCGGCCGGGCTGGGGGAGGGGGCCGGAGGGGACGCCCGGGGCCGGGACAGGTGAGGGGGCGCTGGGGACCGCCCTGCGCCGCACGCGCGGGCCCCTCGGGCCGCCCTCCCCGACGCCGGCTCCGCTCCAGGCCGAGCCCGGGCGCCGGGCCACGACGGTGCGTCCGAGGATACCCCAAGCTAGAGGAGAGCGGAGGGCAGCGGGCGCCGGGAGGGCAGACACACGAGGTCCGAGATTTCAGACCCAGAAAAGAAGGACCCTTGGGCCGGGTTGCAAGGGCCGTAAGAAGACGGGAAGCGCCTTACAAGTCCGTGGCAGGGCATGTGCCAGGGCCCGGGCAGACGAGTGTGGCCGAAGCCGGCAGGGAGGGAGGCTGAGAGGCCAGCGGTGGCCTCCTTCCTGCGAGGGGGGAGCCTGGGAGGTCTCGAGGCGAGTGAGAAGCACAGATTGGCGTCTTAGGAAGAGCCGACGTGGGTGGGAAGAGGGTGGTTGCGGAGCGGGGCGTCGAGGGGCCCAGGAGCGGGAACAGGACAAGGGCGGGCGCCGGCCTCGGGAGGATGCGGACCTTCCCGGGTGGGATGTGGGTGCCCCGAAGAGCCGGCTGGGGAAGCCAGTGTGGGCCGGGGTGGGGGGAGGGGGGAACAGGCCTTGTGCGGGGGGCGGGGAACCGGGGCCCAGGACCGTGCACGGAGGACCGAGAGCGCGGGCCAGAAGCCGGAGGTGGCGCTGGGGTCGGAGGGCCCGGTCGGCCTGTCAGGGGCCACTGCGAGGTCAAGGGCATCTCCGCGCGGGGGCGGGGATCCGGCGTGTGCGGGTGATCTGGCGCGGGCGGGAGGCGCCAGGCAGGCGGGCGGGCGGGCGGGCAGCTGGAGGGGCTGCCACCGGCCCCCGGCAGGCAGTCGGAGCGCCCGGGGCCGCAGGGCCCAGGGAGGCCGCGTCCGGGGGCAGGGCGGTCGCCGCAGACAAGGGGGCTGTGAGGGGCCGCGCGGGGTTTCCGAGCTCGCATCCCGAGGCGCGCAGACCCCTCCCCGCTGCCAGCCCCGCCTCCGGGGCGGGGGCCGGCTTGGCCCGCCATCTGCTTCACATCGACGCCGCCGCCGCCTCCCGGGCCTCCCGGGCCTCCCCGGCCCCAGGAATGCGGCGGCGGCGGCGGGCGGGGCTGCCTGGAAGGGGGAGGGCGCGATCGCCGCCGGCCTGTGCCTCGCCTCAGCCCTCCTTCCCTATGGGGGTCCCTGCCGGGGACCCGATGGCCGGCCCGCCGCGTTCCCCCACCCCGGACCTCCCCATCGGACGCCTGTTCCAGTAGCCGGGAGCCTGGGCTGGGTTTCAGATCCTGGGGCCTCCGCATCCAAGTGGCCTCGAGCACATCGCTTAAGCTCTCCGGGCTGGGCCCTGCTCCTGACAAATGGTGTTGGGGGTGGCACCCACCTCGTGGAGGGGAGGGAGGGGGCATGATCCTGGTTCTGTATGGAGGTGGTTAACAGGAACCACTGCCACTGGGGGCTCCGCCTCCCTCCCCAGGGTCTGGACCATCTCTTCCATGACCTTCCCAAGGCTGGGCCTTTCGAAGCTCCACTAGCTGTTCCCTCTGCCTGGAGGCAGGAGGACCACGGGTAGCAGCTCTGTCAGTAAAACCCCAGAGGCTTTCTGTGTGCGGGCCTGGCGGTGCCAGGGTACGGCTGTCATGTGTGTGTGTGTGTGTGTGCGTGTGTGCGTGTGTGTGTGTGTGTGTAGGGGGGAGACTTTCCACAAGTCATCTGACATCTGGTAAGGGCTAGGGAGGAGGTATTCAGCGTGGAGACCCAACTGGAGGCGATGAGTGAGAGGCCGGGGAGAGGAACCCAGAGCAGAGCCTGGCGATGTCGGGGGCAGGCCCTGCCTGCTGAGGGCCTGTTGGAAGCGTGGAAGGGGCCCAGGTGGCTGGGATGGGGATGGTGGAGGAGAGACCACCCGAGCTCTGCCCGCTCCCGAGAAGACTGAGGCCCCAGAAACCCCGGGGCAGGAGGGCAGAAGGTGCAAGAGAAGCAGGCAGGATGAGGTGGCCGGGGTGGGGGGGCAGGGGACACGTGGCCTGTCCATCCTGGGTCCACTTGGGAAGGTGGGTGTTTCTCTGTGCATCATCTGGGAGGGCGCAGAGTCCCAGCCTCTCAGCCTGGAAAGACAGGCCTTACCCTGAGACAAGAGTCCACTCGGGGTGGGGGCTTGCGGGGACGAGGCCCCCAAGGCACTGCCATTTTCTCGCTGGGACTCGGGGAGACTCGTGAGGGAGGGGGTGCAGTGGGGGGGTACCCATGGGGGGCGGGAGGAGAGCCCAGCTGCCGTGAACTCCCGGGGGGTGTGGGGGCCGAGGAGAGGGCAGATACTGGCACAGTGAGTGGGCAGTGTGCTTGGGCGTGTTCAGGATCAGGGTCTAAACCAGCACAGCTCCAGCTGCAGTGACCGTGCTCCGTGGGGGGCACCGCCTGCTTGCTGTGGGGCCTGGACTGACACGCAGGGTCCCGCCTGAGTGTCGGAGCTGCCCCGTCCCCGGCCCTCTTTCTCGACCTCTCACTTTCATTAGATCTGGGAGGACCGGGCTGCCAGCCCATCCCAGTCTTTCCTGCCTCCCGTCTCAGGAGGAGGGGTCCCACAGGCTCATCGTCTACATAGGCTCTGTCCCGCCAGCGGGTGGGGTTTTTAGCTCTGTTGGGTGGAGCCTGGGTGCCAGCCGTGCTGGGGGAGCTTCCTGGGGCCTGTTCAGCACTGGCTGAAGCGCACACAGCAACCTTGGGTGAGTTCTTGAGCTGTGCTTAGCCACTCAGTCATGTCTCCGACTCTTTGCGAGCCCACGGACTGCAGCCTGGCAGGCTCCTCTGTCCATGGGATTCTCCGGGCAAGAGTACTAGAGTGGGTTGCTATGCCCTCCTTCAGGGGATCTTCCCGACTCAGGAATTGAGCCGGGGTCTCCTACATGGCAGGCAAATTCTTTACTGGCTGAGTTACCAGGAAATTTCTTGGGTGACTTTTTTTTTTTTTTAGTGCCAAAAGCTGGACACATCTCACTCTCTTAATCCTGCCAAACCTATGGGGACCCATTGTACAGACATAGCAGCTGGCGGTCAGATTAAGTTCTGTGCCCAAGGTCACACAGCAAGTGGCAGATCCAGAAATCCAATGCACCGTCCTGTGGCCCTAAGGCGAGGCTCCCAAGCTGCCAGAGCGAGGCAGCCAGGCCATCTGGGACAGAAGGCAGGCAGTATTCCCAGGCGGTCCCAGCAGGCCATTCTGGTGGGGTCGCCTGCTGAAGGACCGGCTCCAGAGGCTCTCCATCCAGAGTCCTGGGCTCAGGCTGGCAGAAGAGGCAGGGGGTGACCCAGGGTTTAGTGATCATCTCAAGCTGGGAACATGGAGGGCATCTTCTGAGGGGCCTGCTAAGGGGGGCTCAGCCTTTCCTTTCCCTGACACCCTACCCACCAGGGCCATCAGGCCCCTCCCACCTCCTCCACCAACACATGCCAGTTCTGGGTTCCCATCCTCCCTCCTGTGCTCTGAGGTTGGATGGAGGCCATGTGCCTTTAGGATCTGAGACCGCAAAGACCTGTAGTCTGAGTGTCTGATCCTTCTCAACCTCCTTTGCCCGCAGCGTGGGCACACCCCACCTCAGCACTCATGACCCTCACCAGGGGCCATGGCTTCACTTGGGCAGGGCCGCCAAACCTCTGTGTCTGCCCACCCAATCAGCCCAGGGCTCGGGAGGCTGCCTCACCCCAACATGGGCACTTAGGGAGTTCTTACTTCCTACTGTACCTTGGAAAAGCCAAATAAAATTGAGGTTTCATGAAGCTGCAGAGAGGGCGTCCCAGCGTGGCCTTCCTCGAGCCTGAGCCTCGCCCTGGTGCTCCGCAGCCCTCTCTTGCACTTTCCTCACCTGGACAGACTCCCTGGGCATCTCCTGCCCGTCCCCGAGCAAACCCCTTGCTGAGGCCACCTCGCTCAGAGGCTGCCTGTTTTAGCCCCAACAGGGCATTCTGATGTGCTGCCCGACCCAGCCAGTCCTGGCACTGTCTGGGTCTGAACCCTTGACACCCATCGGGCCAGACTCTGCCACATCCTGGGGTGCCCTAGCCTGCCTCACTGGAGATGGTCCTAGAGGCTCAGAGAACTTTGCTCCACCCCCACCTCACCACTGCCCCTCCTCCGACGCCTGGGGTCTCTTCTCAGGCCTAGTGGATGGGGAAAGAGGGCACAGATCAGGAGAGGCAAGACCCCCAAGAAGAGGGAATTTCTTGGAAGTGGTCTGTTCTCCGCCACCTCCCAGGGTTCGCTCTGGATGGCTGAAACTTGTGACTTACTCCTATAGCAGCGCCTCCGATAACCACCTCCAGAGGGCAGGGTGGGGATTGCTGGGGGGTGGGGGGTGGGGCGGTTCCCAGCGCAAGGGGCTCAGACTCAGGCGCCAGTCTCTCTGCCTGCAGTTCCCAGGAGCTCACGTGCTGCGCCGGCTGGAGGCAGCAGGGGGACGAGTGTGGGATCGGTGAGTGGGTCACCTGGGATCGCGCCCGGGGTGGGGGTGGGGCACGGAGAGCAGGAGACACGTGCGGCGGCTGGACTAGGGACACCTCGGCCCGTCTCGTCCGCAGCTGTGTGCGAAGGCAACTCCACGTGCTCGGAGAACGAGGTGTGCGTGCGACCCGGCGAATGCCGCTGCCGCCACGGTTACTTCGGGGCCAACTGCGACACCAGTGAGCGCGGATCCCAGCGGGCGCGGGGCGGTGGGGGCGGGGTCTGAGCGGGAGGCGGGGCTGTGAGTGAGCGGGGCCAGGTTCGGGACGGGGCGCCGGATGGGAAGCTAGCAGGCTCTCTCTCCAGCGCCTGGGCAGCCCCCCGTCTCCACTCCTCCTGCAGAGTGCCCGCGGCAGTTCTGGGGTCCCGACTGCAAGGAGCTGTGCGTCTGCCACCCGCACGGGCAGTGCGAGGACGTGACGGGCCAGTGTACTTGTCACGCGCGGCGCTGGGGCGCACGCTGCGAGCATGCGTGCCAGTGCCAGCACGGCGCGTGCCACCCGCGGAGCGGCGCGTGTCGCTGCGAGCCCGGCTGGTGGGGCCCGCAGTGCGCCAGCGCGTGCTACTGCAGCGCCACGTCGCGCTGCGACCCGCAGACGGGCGCGTGCCTGTGCCACGCGGGCTGGTGGGGCCGCAGCTGCAACAACCAGTGTGCCTGCAACACGTCGCCGTGCGAGCAGCAGAGCGGCCGCTGCCAGTGCCGGGAGCGCACGTTCGGCGCGCGCTGCGAGCGCTATTGCCAGTGCTTCCGCGGCCGCTGCCACCCGGTGGACGGCACGTGCGCGTGCGAGCCCGGCTACAGGGGCAAGTACTGCCGGGAGCCGTGCCCCGCCGGCTTCTACGGCCTGGGCTGCCGCCGCCGGTAAGCGCGGGCCCCGCCCAGGGAGGGGAGGGAGGGACAGGCCGCCGAGGGGGCCGGGGTGAGGGGCCCGGGCCCCGCCTAGCCTCCCGCCCCTTCCCCAGATGCGGCCAGTGCAAGGGCCAGCAGCCGTGCACCGTGGCCGAGGGTCGCTGCCTGACGTGCGAGCCCGGCTGGAACGGCACCAAGTGCGACCAGCCGTGCGCCGCCGGCTTCTACGGCGAGGGCTGCGGCCGCCGGTGCCCGCCGTGTCGCGACGGGCACGCCTGCAACCACGTGACCGGCAAGTGCACGCGCTGCAACGCGGGCTGGATCGGCGACCGGTGAGCGACGCGCCCCAGGCACGCAGCCCCCCGCCGCCCTCCCCCGGCTGCCCTCCGCACTGGACTCCGTGGGCTTCGGGCCCGTTGGCCCTGTTCCCACTGACGCCCCCTCCCCCCGTTCCGAGGTGTGAGACCAGGTGCAGCAATGGCACGTACGGCGAGGACTGCGCGTTCGTGTGCGCCGACTGCGGGAGCGGCCACTGCGACTTCCGGTCCGGACGATGCCTCTGCGGCCCGGGCGTCCACGGGCCCCAGTGAGTGCTCGGGGCCGAGAGGTCCGGGTCAGCATCTGGCACAGGGCTCCAGCCAGACCCCAGAGGCTGCTGTACTGGTGACCAGGCGGGACCCAGGCTTGGCCCTCAGCCAGCTAGGGAGCGACCAGGGGCTCTTGGAGGGCAGTTTCCTGCCCTGGCGTGGAGCTGGCGTTCGAGCCGGATCTGGCGGCCAGGTCAGCCTGTGGTCAGTGGGCTCCCCTGAGCTGATGATATGAAGTGCGCAGGGACCTCCACATAGACCCACGGGTCTGGTCCGGCAGCCTATTCCCTGCACATCGAGAGTCAGCCCCGAAGTGGGCACCGCGGCCAGTGATCTTGGCCGGTCCCCCAGACTCCCCGGCGCTGGAGTGCACCCATTCGTTTCCGAAACACTGATCGCCCAGGAGGTGCTTTAGGTGGGGGTGGCCGCAGTCCCTAGAGAGTGGAGCCAGGGAACGCGGGGCTGGCCGGCCGCGGGGTCGAGCGCGGGAGGCGTCTCGGAGGGCAGCTCTGCGGCGCCCCCAGACCCCGCCCGCCTCCCTGACCTCGCGCTCCCGCAGCTGTAACCTGACGTGCCCGCCCGGGCTCCACGGCGTGGACTGCGCCCAGGCCTGCAGCTGCCACGAGGACTCGTGCGACCCGGTCACCGGTGCCTGCCGCCTGGGTGAGTGGGTAGGGGCCGCCGAGCGGGAGCGCGGGGGTCGCTGGCCACCGCTCTGATCGGGCGCTCCCCACAGAGACCAACCAGCGTAAGGGCGTGATGGGCGCGGGGGCGCTGCTCGCCCTGCTCCTCGGCCTGCTACTCTCGCTGCTCGGCTGCTGCTGCGCCTGCCGCGGCAAGGACCCAGCGCGCGGGTGAGGCTTCGCCGCCCGGCCCTAGCCCGGCGCGCGTCGCGCGGTGTCTGCGGCGAGGTGCGCCCTTCCCGGCCCCGCCCCGTCCCCGGGTGGCACCGCCCCCGTTAGTTCAGGCCCCGCCCCTAGGGGCCCAGTACACTGTAGGCCCCGGCCCCTGTTAGCTCAGGCCCCGCTCGCCGCCCCGCCCCGCCCCGGTGGCCCCGCCCCGCCCCTTTGCTCAGGCCCCGCCCCGAGGGGCCGCGTCCACAGTAGGCACCGCCCGGCCGTCCGTGGGTGGGCGCCGGCTGACTCGCCCCGCCCCCAAGGCAAGGCCCAGTCCCCTTCGCTCAGGCCCCGACCCCGCAGGGAGCTCTCGCTGGGGAGGAAGAAGGCGCCGCAGCGCCTGTGCGGACGCTTCAGTCGTATCAGCATGAAGCTTCCCCGGATCCCGCTCCGCAGGCAGAAGCTGCCCAAGGTCGTAGGTAAGGATGACCGGGGAACACCTCGGACGCAGGCGGCTGCCGGGAAGTGGCCGTGACCGGGTCAGTATAGGGACGGCGGGGCCTTGATTGTCCATGGGAGGGTCGAGGAGGGGTGCGCCCAGGGCGAGGAAAGAGGGCTTGCGGATACGGGGGAGCCCGGGAGGAAGGCAGGGGGGTGGCCTGGACGTCCCGTCGCCCCGCAGTCTGCAGGAGTGAACGCACCGTCTGTCCTGGTGCGGAGCCGCAGGTGGACGCGGGACCTGTGCGTGGGAATGCCCTGACGCAAGAAGCCCCTGCCCCTGGCCCAGATTTCTGGCAGTGCTCAGGGTCTTCCCTGGAAAGGGGGCAGGCTGGCCCCCACCGCGATGTCAGGACGGGTCAGCTGCGGGCTGCAGGGCGTGCCATTTTCTCTCCTCTCTCTGCACTGGTTCACACTGGGGTGCACGCTCTGTGTCTTTCCCACTTGTTTCCAAAGATGAAGGGGACGAGTTGATGAAGTCTCCTGGGAGGTAAAGGTGGAGACTGTTGAGAAAAGTCACTCTGGGCCCACTCAGCTTGGTGGGGTCTGTGGACACGGGTGTAGGAGCTGGAGCCCGCCTCCTGTTTGTGCGAGGGGGACAGGCTGGCAGGCTCTGTGATTCCCTGTTGGCAGGGTCTACATCTGTCGAGGCCGTGCCTGGGGGTGGCAGCCTGCTGAGGTGGGCTGAGCCAAAAGGTGGCCTCCCCACTGCGCGTTTGCTCTCAGAAACTGCTCGGGGCAGGGCCTGAAGCATGGCCTGGAGGGCCTGATGCCGTCTCCCAGCTAGGTGCTCCCTGTTTTCACAACTTTCGGCCTGACCTCGGTCAGCTCCCTGGCTGCTGGGAGAGGCCTGTCCTACTCAGAGTCTTAGGGTACAGCTCTTGGGTCCCTACCTCACTGTGGCAAGAGGGCTGGTGAGGGCCCTGGCTGGGCAAGGCAGGGCCCCTGGCAGCTGTGCCCCCGTCCTCCCCAGTGGCCCATCACGACCTGGACAACACACTCAACTGCAGCTTCCTGGACCCGCCCTCGGGGCTCGAGCAGCCCTCACCATCGTGGTCTTCCCGGGCCTCCTTCTCCTCCTTCGATACCACAGATGAAGGCCCCGTATACTGCGTACCCCACGAGGGTGAGTTGGCCTCTGCTTGGGGTGAGGACCCCTCTCGCTCTGACCCAGTGAAGGATTCTTGCTGAAAAGACCTCTGTGCTCAGAGGGACAGGGAGGAAGGGCTGGTGATGCTGTCAGCTGGCGGGGTGGGTACACAGCTGAGGCTGCAGGTCAGGCTTCTGTGCTGCCCAGCACCAGACTGGGCTGGTTGTCTGGGGAGGTAGCCACAGCCAGGTTCACATCTGGGGAGACCAGGCAGAGAGAAGTTTCTGGGCTGGGGGAGGGGCTGGCAAGAGGAGACAGGAAAGGGAGTCTTTGAGGTCTGGAGGCACACTTTCTCAGGAAGCCTTGGCTCACAAACGTCAGGAAGCAACCTCACTCGCTGGACTGCTGGCCCTTCTCCTGCTATTATCCCCGTGAATGACCCTGAGCAGGTGACCAGGTGACCCTGAGCCTTGGAAGGCCTTGCTCTTAAAGAAGGATAAGGAATCGAGAGTCAGATATGGCGATGGTGGCGGTGGGGGAGGGGTGCGGGGGGCCGAGGTGGGGCCCCTCATCCTGCGTGGGGGCTCCAAGTCAGCGGTCAGCGCGGGGAGCGAACCAGGCATGTTTGGATGCCAGGACGCCTGAGCGCCAGTGGGGGCGGGAAGAGGACAGGAGGGGGCGCGGGCGGGGGCTTGTGCCTGTAGGCTGGAGGGCCGAGCTTTTCCTGCGGGCGGTAATCGTCCCGCTCTTCCCTGGTCAGAGGCGGCCGCCGAGAGCCGGGATTCGGAGGTCCCCGCCGCGGCGCCAGTGACCACGCCCGCGGAGGAGGCGGCGCCCCTCCCCGCGTCCTCCGACAGCGAGCGTTCCGCATGCAGCGGTGACGGGCCCGGAGGGGCGCTGTATGCGCGCGTGGCCCGGCGCGAGGCCCGGCCGGCCCGGGTCCAAGACGAGGCCCGAGGTCTGTCGCTTTCGCCATCGCCCGAGCGCCGGAAGCCGCCACCACCCGACCCTGCCACCAAACCCAAGGTGTCCTGGATCCATGGCAAGCACGGTGCCGGTGCCGCCGCAGCCACCCGTGCGCCCTCGCCTCCACCCGCGGGCCCCGGGGCCGCCCCCAGCCCCAGCAAGAGGAAACGGACGCCCAGCGACACGTCGGCGCGGCCCCCCGGGCTGGCGGAGGAGGGGCCGGCCCTCGCGGCACCCTCCCCGCCTCGGGCTCGGGCTCGGGGCCGCGGCCCGGGCCTCCCAGAGCCCACGGACGCTGGCGGGCCCCCGCGCAGCGCTCCCGAGGCCGCCTCCATGCTGGCCGCCGAGCTGCGCGACAAGACTCGCAGCCTGGGCCGTGCCGAGGGGCCCCCGGGCATGCAGGGTCCCCGAGAGAAGCCGGCGCCTCCGCAGAAGGCCAAGCGCTCCGTGCCTCCTTCCTCACCGGCCCGTTCGCCCCCTGCGCCTGAGGCCCCGGGGCCCGAAAAGGCGGCAGCCGGCACGCCCGGATCCGACACTCCTCGAAAGAAAACCCCCATTCAGAAGCCGCCCCGCAAGAAGAGCCGGGAGCTGGCGGGCGAGCCGGGCCGGGCGGGCGCGCCCACGCTGTAGTAAGGGCGGCCCGCGGGCCTGCAACTTCCCCGCTTAGCAGCACTGCTTGGCGCCCCGCGCCCTGCGCGCCCTCCTCTCCCGGGCGGGACGCTGCGTCTCGCTGGTTCGGGCCCTGAGGCCCTCCTGGACGGACCCGTGCATGCTGCGGCAGGAAGCCCCATCCCGGTGGCTGAGGCCTGACAGGCGCTTCGCTGACCCCTCCTTTCCCACAGCCTCCCTGGGGAGGGCTCCCGTCTGCCCGCTGGGCTCTCCAAGGCCAGGGGCAGGAGGGCTCTGTCTAGAGAACACCTCCCACTGGCCCAGAGTGCCTCGTCTGGGCCGCCACCTCACTGGCTGGGGCCAGAAGCACTTCCACCCAGGATGCCTCTCCGGTCAGGGCCTGGCGCCTCTGGCTGGAGGCTCCCTCCCGGCGACCCTGGCCAGAGGCTCCTTCCACTGGCCGAGCCCCAGGGCCTCTGGTTGATAGGAGGAGGGCTGGTCTCTGCTCCTCAGGGGGCTTGGCTGTCCCCCAACCAGTCCTCCCCAGCCTCCCCAGCCCCCTCTGCTGTCGAGCTGGTTTTGATGGCCTCCCAGCACCCCACATGCCTGGGAATCTGAGGGGCAACTCCAGTGGCCTGAGGAGATGTATTTATAGGCCCCCGGCAGGGCTGCTCCCACCCCCCCACCACCCCTGGGGGGCCCCAGGATGGGCTCCTCTCAGCAGGGGCTTGGCCAAAGCTTTCTGAATAAAGTGCCTCCCCCCCCCAACACCATGGTCTGCCCGCTTCCTCTCTGCTGGGCCTCTGACAAGGACGTCACCCCAAGAAACCTGGCACCCCTTGACCCAAGTGGCGTCTGGGAGCCCAGGTGGGTCCCCCAAGACCACGTGGGAAGTGGGTCCTGTCCGTCTGCCCAGCCTTCAGCTTTTTATCCAATGTGTTGGGCATCCACTCAGCCCACCCCCACTCCACTGGCAGCTGGTGATTCCGGGGCGGGCAGGAACAGATAGGGTGGTTACGAGGAAGGCGCCCGTGCGCTGCGACTCCTGCCCTGCGCCTTCCCCACCGGCCACCGCTGTGACACTCGGGGCCCCAAGCCCTTTGGTGTGTCTGGGGCAGGTCAGGGGCTGGGGCAGGTCAGGGGCACAGCCTCTAGCTGGGCCACGTCTGGCACAAACAGGACCGTCTGGCCGTGCACAGAGCCCTGCTGTCCATCTCAATGGGCTCCCTGTCCTCAGCCGGAAACGCTCGGCCGCCCACCCTGCTGGCTGCGGGAGCTGGGGGAGGGGGGAGCATGCCTGGCCCTGAGCCCCGGCTGGCCCCTCTCTGGTCTCGCCTTCTTTCTGCATCCCTTATTCTGTGTCTTCAGGGCTTGTGGCCCTCAGGAGGGCCTCACAAGTGACCTTCCCCAGCTCCATAACCTCACCTCTCTATGGTGTGCGCTGTCCCCACCCACCTGGACTCCTCCATTGCCCGCCTCTGCCTGGTGGGCCTCTTCCTCACCGCCCCCAACCCCGCTGCCAGCTCTTTCCATCAGGAGATTCAGCCAAGACGCTCCCATCACCTCCCCACGCCCTCCCTGTGGACCCTGGAACGACCGGAGTGTGACCAGTGCTGGCAGCTCAGGGGTCTCACCTGGTGAGTCTCCGGTCCCCTGGCCGGATGCCACCTGGAGGTCCACGTCGGTGACCCATGCAGGGGCCGAGCCAGCTGAGCGGAGACGCCTCATGGCACGGGTGGACATCTGGCGTGGCTCCCGTGGCCGTGGTCCCCGCCTCTGGCCTGGTCGGGCCGCACGTGGAAGGCGGGCTCCCACTCCCTGGGCACGCGGCTTCCCTAGAGCCAGCCGGGCACCCTCCCAGCCGTGGCCCTGCGCCTGGCCACAGCCTCATCCCTTCCTTCCGGCACCAGGCCGTGCTGGCTGCCAGGCGGAGAACACAGCCTTAACGTCGGCCAGGAGGGGCAGAGGCCCAGCGAGGGCAGGGCACGGACCGAGGAGGGCGTGGAGGGCAGGCGGTGGGTCAGGCGGCAGTGGCTGGGCACCCCCACTCGCCGTGCCCACCGTGTTGCTCCCCGACCCCCAAACCCCTGCTCCCACGGGCAAACCACTCCCCGGCCTGGATCAGCACGGTTGGGGCGCCCGGAGGGCTCGGGCCCCATATCTCACGTCCAGCAGGCCTCCCCCGGGCCCCTCCGCCCCCTGCCCCAGAGCCTCTGAGCATCGGAGACCCTGAACCTCAGGAGCCCCTCTGTGTCAGCGCCCCACAGAGCAGGGGCCCCTCTGGCACTTCCTGCAGCAACCCTGCCGCCGGCACCCTGGAGGCCAGCCGCTGTGGCCTGGGGCACCCAGCCCAGGAAGCACCCCCGACGGTCTAGGTAGCAGCCTGGTGAGGGAGCTGCCGAACCCCACCCCGGCCCAACACCCACTCCCCCCCCATGGCCCTGCAGCAGCGCCAGCTCCCAGGGCAGGCGCCACAAAAGGGAACCGCGGCTGCTGGAACCTCTGTTGCCATGGGGACGGGGACCACAGGATTCACATCTGGTAGCGATTGAGGAGGAAAAATTATGAGTCGTGGAAAATGCAAATATTTTTTGTAGCACAGAGCACAAAGGAGCGGGAGGAATGTGGGACTGGAGAAGGCCTGAGCCGGAGCACACGCCACACAGAGGCCGAGCTACGTGCACACACGCGTGCACACACACGTGCACAGACACACACACTGAAATATACCTGCACCTATAGCCAGACCAGCAGAGAGACCGAGAGATGCCACCAGTACCCCCACCCCCGCCCCAGGGCGGAAACAGACAGCCCTGCCAACACAAACAGAAACGCTGAGGCTGAAGCCCTGTCGCACCGCACATGCACACCAGGAGAACTGGCGGAAACATGGGGGGAGATGCACACACTGAAGCAAACAGGCGTGTATGAGGAAGCACACTCTGTCAGCAAAACTCACCTGGAACAGAGAAGGCTCAGCAACGCACACAGTACCACCAGGTGCGGGACACGGAGACAGCACAGACGTGTGGCACAACACAGCCCCCAGCTCAGAGAAGACCTGGGAGAGACACAGACCTTGCAACACGCGTGCGTGCACACACACACACACACACACACACACCCTGCAGGCTCCCAGGAGGACCCACAGCACTCAGTCCACTACACACCAGGAGGCGGACATGGGACGATGCTGCTGAATTTATCTGTGTTGGAGGTCGCACCCCACTGTGAGCCCAGAGCCCGATCCTGAAAGGCCAAGTTATCCTGGCACGTGCCAGACTCCCTCATCCGTTCTCACAACTCGCTCGATCACCCGGCTCTAGAAAACCCCAGCTGCTACCTTCCCTGGTCAACATCTCTTGTTAGCAAATGTTGCTCCTGCCGCCATCGCGGGAATAAAACCATCCGCTGACTGTCTGGTGCATCGCTCTGTGCGGTCCTGCAGCCCCGACCCTTGTCTTTGGGTCCTGGTCACTCCTCCGGCTGGTGCCCGAGAGCTAACCCTAGCCCCGGGGAGCCCCCGGGGCCTGTGCGCCAGGGCCTCATCTGTTGGGAGCACAGGAAGAATTTGATCTTTTTTGAGGACTCGATTTCTGGTGTCTGCTTCTTTTGATTTCAGGGTCTGACCATTTTGTCTGTTTGTGTGTCTGTTTTGAGCTTAAATTGATCGAGTTAGTAGCTGCTGGGAAGATGGTTTGAGGTGGCCACAGACGGTAAGAGCCGTGTGGAGGCCAAGGTTCCCTTAAGGCTGCAGAGAGGCTATGACAAGGCCAGGGGCGCCTCGACACACCCAGCAGTCAGCCCTCTGGGGAGGTTCACGGTATGCAGGGCCCCCCCAAGAAGGCAGTGAAGCTGGGGGGTGGCGTTAGGAGAGCAGAGGTCTGAGAGCAGACAGCCAGAGTCCAGCAACAGGCGAGGGTGTCTGCAGAGGTTGGGGCCCCCTCGGAGGACAAGCGGGGGGGGCGCGTGGGTGCACGAAAGGGAGTCTGGGTGGAGGAGCCATCGATGGGTCCAGTGGGGCCGGTACCCTGGGTCCTCATGGGGACAGTCGTGGCGAGTGAGGGCATCATCGGATGAGTCTAGCTACAGGGCCGAGTCACCTGGGTTAGTCAAGAGGTCAGTTAGTTTCACATTAGCGAAGATGGGGAAACGACCCCAAGTGTCTGTCCACAGATGAATGGATAGCAAAGGGAGGTCCATTCATGCAATGGGATATTACTCAGCCTTAAAAAGGGAAGAAATTCTGACACGTAATACAACAAGGGTGAACTCTAAAGACATTACGCTAAATGAAAATGAAATCAGCTCATCACAAAAGAACACATACTATATACTTCTGCTTACGTGAGGTATTCACAATAGATTTGCAGAGAGACAGAAAGTGGGGGGCCAGGGGCTGGGGTGGGGGGTGGGCAGTTAGTGTTTAGTGGGGATGGAGTTTCAGTTTTACAAGATGCAAAGGGTTATCAGGATGGCTGGTGGTGACGGCTACATAACAGTGTCAGTGTACTTATTCCTGAGCTAAGCACTTAAAAAGGGTTAAGATGGTAAAGTTAATGCTATGTGTTTTTTACCACACCAAAAAAAAAAGAAAAAGAAAAAGTCAGGAGGTCAGCGCCTCACCGGGTGAGCTGTGACATTGGGCTGAATACTGGACCTGAGGCAGCTGGTGTTCTGGGAGCCTTGGACACACATGACTATGGTTGGGTAATGACTTTGGGGGTGCAATGGGCCACAGAGTGGCCCCCACTGGGTTAAACCCCAGAGTCCTGTTGCATGTGTTGCAAAGTCAAAGCTACTTGGTAGAAGCTGGTTTAACAGAAAGACAAAGCTTGGCCTTCACCCTACAGTTTTCATTAAGCCAGAACCCACTTTATATTCCCTTGACCCGTTTTTCAGAGTTTTTTTCCTCCTCACCTTGAATTACTTTTCTAAAAAAAATAGTTTTTATTCTTTTTTGAGCAGTTTTAGGTTCACAGCAAAATTAAGCAGAAGGGACAGAGAGTTCCCATATACCTCCTCTCCCTTGACCCTCACTATCAAAATCTTCCTCCCAAGCAGGATATTTGTTACAATCTGTGGGCCTGTAGTGACAGGCCAGCATCCCGCAGAGCCCGTGGTTGCCATCTGGGTCACTGATGTACGCGCTATGGGCAAACGCGCGATGACCCGTGTCCACCGCTGTAACACGGTCCAGAGCAGTTTCTCTGCCCTAAAACCCTTCCTTCTCTCGCTCTTCATCCCTCCCTGTCTCCCCAAGAGACCACCGCTCATTTTCTGCCCCCACAGTCTCGCCGTTTCCGGAAGGTCGCCGAGCTAGACAGGCTCCGGGCCCCCGGCGCTCTCTGCGCCCCTGCCGGCGCGTTCGTGCCGGGCGCTCGCTGTAGGTGCTTGCGTGTCCCTCGCGTACCTCCCGGAGGAGGGCGCGGCGTGTCCTCGTCTGACGCGCCTTCCCGGGGGCGGGGTGCTGGGGGCAGGGACCGGGCAAGGGACTCTCCGAGGAGGCGCCCTGCTGCCCGCGGAGCGGTGGGCCCGCGCGCTAGTGCGGGGTCCGCGCCGGAACGCACGCCCGCGAGGCGGTGGCGCCATCTAGCGGGAGCCCTCGGCAGCACCCGGGGCGGGGCCCGAGGTCGGGTCGGGGGCGGGGCCCGGGGGGGGGGGTCGGGTCGGGGGGGCGGGGCCCGGGGGTCGGGTCGGGGGGGCGGGGCGGGGGCGGGGCGGGGGCGGGGCCCCGGAGTCGAAGTGGCTACCTCTTCCGAGACCTTATAGGGACGGTGTCCCCCCTCTGAGGCGGAAGCAGCAACCCGCCGCTCCCCGGTGCGTTCTCCGGTCGTCCACCCACTCTGCCCTCCAGGTACCGCCGGCATAGGCAGGGATTGCGCTGCCCCTTGCAACCAAATGCGGAATTTTCGTATCTTAAAAAAACCCACAGGGACTTCCCCGGTGGTCCAGTGGTTAAGAATCCGCCTGGCAATGCAGGGGAGGCAGGTTCCATCCTGATCCCCGGTGGGGGAACTAAGATCCTTCGAGCCACGTAGGAAAAATAGAAGAGAAACAACAACAAAAAAACAGTAAAATTGATGTTATCTGTTGCTGTTGAGTTGCTCAGTCGTGTCTGACTCTGGGAACCCATGGACTGCAGCTCACCAGGCCTCCCTGTCCATCACCAATTCCCAGAGCTTGCTCAAACATCATGTCCATCCAGTCGATGATGCTATCCAACCATCTCATCCTCTGTCGTCCCCTTCTCCTCCTGCCCTCAATCTTTCCCAGCTTCAGGGTCTTTTCCAATGAGCTGGCTCTTTGCATCAGATGGTCAAAATATTGGATCTTCAGCTTCAGCATTAGTCCTTCCAATGAATGTTCAGATTTGATTTTCTTTAGGATGGAGTGGTTTGATCTTCTTGCAGTCCAAGGGACTCTCAAGAGTCTGCTCCAATGCCACAGTTCAAATTCATCAATTCTTCAGTGCTCAGCCTTCTTTGTGGTCCACCTCTCAGAGCCGTACATGACTACTAGGAAAACCATAGCTTTGACTCTACAGAACTTTGTCGGCAAAGTGATGTTTCACCTTTTTGTATTTTATAATTACTCTATGAAACAAATGTGAATGTGAGTGGAGGATGGCGGCTGGAGGCCTCTGTGGAATATAATAGTGCAATAGTAACAACAGAATTCTGGCCAGTGGATCACTGCCTGCTGGAGCCACTGTGGCTATTGGGACAGGGCCTTACCTGACACTGGCTCAGGCCACAGCAGTTCACAGCAAGGTGCCATTCATCCTTTCTCGGTTGAAAACTAGGCCACATTGGACTGTTCACTAGAGAAAGAAGGGAGATCATCACCCCACCTCTTCACATCTGGTGTGATGGATCTCTGCCTTCAAGTCCCTGTTTGAGTGAATTTGGGGCCATAGTAACAATTTGCATGGCTCAGGCAACTCTGCAGGGTCTTAGGCCAGAACTAAGGAGCAAAGCTTTATTTTATTCCAATCAGAGCGCCTGTCTTGATAGGCTTGATAGAGGAGAGGGAGCCAGACCCTGGAAGAGTCAGGTGACCTTTTTCCTTCCAAGGTCTGAGCACTGGGGAAGCCCAGGTCGCAATGTGCCCACACCAGGTGGGGGCAGCCAGGGACATTCTGACCTGGGGACTTTCCTTGGTGGGAGGCTTTGGTGCTTTGGGCTGAGGGAACCAGGTCGTAGGTGTTCCCCAGTAATTCCCGGTCACCTAAGGCCTCTGTGTCTGCTGAGAGCCATGGGCCCGGTCCCCATCCTATTCACCCGCCACACTTTTCCTTCTCTACGATCCACAGGAAGAATTGGCCAGCTGCAGCCCAGGGCCCAAATCTGGCTGGAGGCATGTTTTCATAAACAAAGGTTGACTGGCCCACCCCTGCCGCCCACTGCCAGGAGTGCTTAGCGCAGCAGAGCCCTTGTGCCCTGCCAGCTGTTTCGTAATCGGTATCCCGCCCCGAAGCAGCCGCCGAGGGCAGGCCACTCTCCACGCCGCGGTGCTGGAGCGAGGGAACACACCTGGTGCCCATTGCCCACTTCTCGACACCAGCACCCTGGCCCCAGCTCCCCGCTCCCAGCCTGAACTCAGGCTTCTCGCCGCCTTGCTCCGGCCCTGACTAGCACCCAGAAGCCATGACTCGTCTCAGGCTCAGGAGGGGCCTCCACTCCCCAGGACGGGCCGCTGCCTACCTGTCACCTTCCGGCTCTGCCGGTGGCTCCCGCCACCAAACCGTCAAGGAGCGTGTGGAGGCGGCCTGGCGGCTGCCCTCCCTCACCCCCCCTGTCCGTCACTCCCAAGCAGTGCCACGGGAAAACCTGCGGCCCCTGCACTTTATCATTCAAGGTGGAAATTGCTTTTTGTGCCAATTACAGAAGTAACATGTCTTTACATGTTATTTTAATAATTCATTTTAATGAATTATTAATTCATTAAAGTAATTTTAATAATTCAGAACGGGACTCATCACCTAGAAATCCAGTGCATATATTAGGGGTCCTCATGAGTCCTGTCCTGGCCCCCACCCCACTTCATTCCTCATTTCTTGTTCTGTTTTTGAGTGAGCAGACCGGCCCCACAGGCGGAGCTGAGCTCAGGCCCCTTTCCACTCTGGAGCAGGACCAAGGCCCCATCTCAGTGGTTGTTTCCCGGCAAAACCAGAGTGACGTCTGGGGCTCACCGCGGGGCAGCCCGGCTGGCAGCACCCCCAGTTCGCACACCCCGAACATTAGCGCACCGCTGCCGAACGGGGTTTATCCCAGAAACACAAAGACGGTGGGGTGACTGAAAACCTATTCACAGTCCAGCTGCATCTCCACCCGGAAACAAGCCCGCAGCCATTTCTGGGGCTGCAGAGGGGTTTGCCCCGTTCAGCATCCAGCAGCGATTTTCCAGAGACTTAGCAAACTGGGCTCATAGAGGTAGTTTATGGACCTATTTATCTTTTAAATTTTATTCAGACAGTTGTAGGTTCTCATGCGTTTTTAGAAACGTTTTTCTCTATTTGTGACAGTGGTGGGTTGCCTCACAGGCTTTGCTCTAACTGCCTCGTCCCTGCAGTGGCGTCTCTCGCCAAGAAGCACAGGCTCAGTACTTCCATGGCATGTGGGATCTTCCTGGATCAGGGGTCGAACCTGTGATCCCTACATTGGCATCTCCTGCATTGGCAGGTGGATTCTTTACCGACAAGCCACCAGGCAAAAGTCAGTCTTGGCCAGCGGTCGGCATTTCACCTGACACTGAAATACCAGCTCTGTCACCCTTAGGTCGGGATGGAGACCTGAGCCCATGGGTAATCAGCCAAGTTTGTTCCACCGGCCAACGCAGAGCCACATGGGCTTAAGACAGGCGAGTCCTCCAGGTCGATAGAGCCTGAATAAGGAGTTTGCCTGAGTTGCTTTCTAGGCGTCTGGAGTCAGCTGCGTCTAGTTTGAGCTGAGCTGGTTAGGCCCGGCTGGGACCCTGTACCCTGCGCTCCGGCTGCGCCTGCCCGTCCCCCACAGCCTGCCCCACGTGCCCCACGCCAAGGTCGTGCTGCTCCTTCGTCCCGCGGGCACCCTGGCCCCGGCCTTCAGGGAGGCAGCTCTGTGGCTGCTTCTTGCTGTGGCAAAACTCGGCAGCTCAGCTTCCAGGGAACTAACAGCGGCCAGTGGAGAGGTGAGTGCAGATGGACCTTCCGCTGAGGCTCGTTTGAGGCCGGTACTGAGAGGCCGTGGCTGAGTCTGGGCACCGGCCTGGCCCCTTTGCTCCAGGGCCGACTTTCTCAGCGGGTGCCGAGACCTTGCTTGCTTAGTCTTGTTTTGTAGCAAAGAGATGGTTTGGTTTGGGGGGATTTGGGTTTGGAAGACACTTTTCGGTGACTATGGGCTTCCCCAGTGGCTCAGCGGTAAAGAATCTGCCTCGGTGCTGGAGACACAGGTACGATCCCTGGGTCGGGACGATCCCCTGGAGGAGGACACGGCAACCACTCCAGCATTCGGGAAATCCCCCGGACAGAGGAGCCTGGTGGGCCGCCATCCGTGGGGTTGCAAAGAGCCAGACACGACTTAGCGACTGAAGCAGTAAGAATGAACAGTCCCTGAGTCGGGCACTGTACTTGCTACTGTATTGGATCTGAAGGAGGTTTTTTTTTTTTTTTTTTGCATAACACGAGTGTTGAATCCCAAGTGTTGTCTGCTTTCAAGTGGGGAGATCCAGATACAAGAGTTAAGCCACGCAAGGTGGACTTCCCTGGTTGTCCAGCGGTAAAGAATGCGCCTGCCAATGCAGGGAACACAGGTGGGAAGATTCCACAAGCTTCAGGACAGCTAAGTCCGGCTGCCACAGCCACTGAGCCTGTGCACTCTAAAACCCACGCTGCACAGCAAGAGAAGCCAGCTGCCCCAAGGAGCCCGCGCACAGGCACTGGAGAGTAGCCTCTCTCTCGAGCAGAGAGAGCCCGAGGCCCGGCACAGCCAGAAAAGAGAAGTTAAGCGCACGAGGACTGCTGGGCAGCGCCTCCTGGGCATTTAGCAAGTCCTGCCCCGCCCCAGGATTGGGAGGAATCCTGGCAACACATTTGTCAGCCCTTGTTACACACGTGGGTCTTGAACACACAGAACAGAGCTGCTCCGGGGGCGGGGACGCCCTCACCAGGGTGGTCGTTCCCACCAGGACGCGACCTGGGCGTGACCATGTTCCACTGCACGTGGATTCCCAACTTCCCAGTTGTGGCCAAAGCCCTTTAGGGAGATTGGTTCCTTTATGTCATATTTTAGATTTCCCATATAAATTGTATCATATGTCTTCTTTTCTCTTGATTAACGACTGTTTACTTTTGGCTGCTCTGGGTCTTCGTCGCTGCGTGACTGCTCATTGCTGTGACTTCTCTTGTTGTGGGGCACAGGCTCCAGGCGCCTGGGCTTCAGTGGCTGTGGCTCGTGGGTTCTAGAGCCCTGGCTCAGTAGTTGTGGCAGACAGGCTGAGTTGCTCCATGCACAGAGGATCGTCCTGGACCAGGGATCGAACCTGTGTCTCCTGCACTGGCAGGCAGATTCTCACCACTGCACCATCAGGGAAGCCCAGACATTTGTTTTTTTCTTTCTGACTCACTTCACTTAGTATGATAATCTCTAGTTGCACATATGTTGCTGCACATACCATTCTTTCTTTTTCTTTTTTTCCTTTGGCTGTGCCACACGGCATGCAGGGGCTTGGTTCCCCAACCACGGTGCCCCGTGCCGTGGAACCGTCAAGTCCTAACCACTGGACAGCTGGAGAATTCCTGTCATTTCATTCTTTTTCATGGTCTTTCCTTGTGGCTCAGCTGGTAAAGAATCCGCCTGCAATGTGGGAGTCCTGGTTTTGGGAAGATCCCCTGGAGAAGGGAAAGGCTACCCACTCCAGTATTCTGGCCTGGAGAATCCCATGGACACTACAGTCCATGGGTGTCACAAAGAGCTGGACACGACCGAGCAACTCTCAGTTTCACAGGGCTCAGGATATTCCGTCGTATATCTGTGCCGCATCCTCTTTACCCATCCCTCTGCTGGTGAGCGCTGCGGTTGTTCCCGTGTCTTCGCTGTTGTAAGTGGCGCTGCAGTGTACCCTGGGCTGCGTGTGTATTTTTGAGTTATGGTTTTGTCTGGGTATATGCCGGGAATGGGATTGCTAGATCATATGGCAACTCTTTTTTTTTTTTTTTTTGAGAAACCTCCATACTCTTTTCCATGGTGGCTGCGCCAATGTACTTCCCGCCAACCATGTAGGGGGGTTCCCTTTTCTCTACACCCTCCGCAGCATTTGTTATTTGTAGACTATTTAACGATGGCCATTCTGACTGGTGGGAGGTGATGCTTCATTGTAGTTTTGATTTTGCATTTCTCTGATAGTTCATCTGCCTGTTGGCCATCTGTAGCTCTTCTTTGAAGAAATGTCTATTTAGGTCTTCTGCCCGTTCTCTGATTAGGTTGTATGGTTTTTTATTGTTGCCGAGTTGTATGAGTCGTTTATGTATTTTGGAGGTTAAGCCCTTCTCAGTCACATCACTTGCAAATATGTTCTCCCAGTCCGTATGTTGTCTTTTCATCTTGTTTATGATTTCCTTTGCTGTGCAAAAGCTTGTGTGTTTGATTAGGTCCCATTTATTTATTTTTACTTTTGTTATTATCTCTGTTGCCTTGGGAGACCCCGACCTAAGAAAACATTGGTGTGATTCATGTCCGAGAATGTTTTGCCCGTGCTCTCTTCTAAGAGTTTAATAGCGTCATATCTTACGGTTAAGTCTTTAAGTTATCTGAGTTCATTTTTGTTCTTGGTGTAAGGGTGTGTTTGATTTCCATGCAGCTGCCAATTTTCCCAGCATCACTTGCTGAACGGACAGTCATTTTCCTATTTTATATTCTGGCCTCCTTTGTTGAAAATTAATTGATCATAGGTGTGTGGGTTTACTTTTGGACTCTCTGTTCTGTTGATGTGTATGTCTGGTTTTATACCAGCGCCACACCATTCTGATTGGTTTTGGAGGCTTATGACTCTTGCTTTGTTTTTTTCCCCCTGAGGCTTGCTTAGGTAATCCTTGGTCTTCGATGGTTTCATATAAAGTTTTGGTTATTCTTGTTCCATGAAATTTTTATGGGAAATTTGATAGGGATCAAACTAAATCTGTAGATTTCCTTGGGTTGCTCCGTCGTTAAGTCGTGTCTGACTCTTTGTGACCCCATGGACTGCAGCACACCAGGCTTCCCTGTCCTTCACTATCTCCCTGAGTTTTCCCAAACTCATGTCTATTGACTCAGTGATGCCATCCAATCATCTCTTCTTCTTCCTCTTTAACGATGGCCATTCTGACTGGTCACCCTCTTCTCCTCCTGCCGTCAGTCTTTCCCAGCATCAGGGTCTTTTCCAATGAGTCAGTTCTTCGCATCAGGTGGCCAAAGTATTGGAGTTTCAGCTTCACCATCAGTCCTTCCAATGAACACCCAGGACTGATCTCCTTTAGGATGGACTGGTTGGATCTCCTTGCAGTCCAAGGCACTCTCAAGAATCTTCTCCAGCACCACGGTTCAAAGCATCAATTCTTTGACACAGAGCCTTCTTAATGATCCAGCTCTCACATCCATACAGGACTAATGAAAAAACCATAGCTTTGACTAAACAGACCTTTGTTGACAAGTTGATGTCTCTGCTTTTTCATATTCTGTCAAGTTTCTCATAACTTTTCTTCCAAGGAGCAAGCTTCTTTAATTTCATGGCTGCAGTCACCGTCCGCATTGATTTTGGAGCCCATGAAAATAAAATCTGTCATTGTTTACAGTTTTTCCCCATATATTTGCCATGATGTAATGGGACCAGATAGCAAGATCTTCATTTTTTGAATATTGAGTTTTAAGCCAGTTTTTTC